AAGAGAAACAAACTTTAAGTTTCAAGAAACAATTGCTGTCTGGGAGATGCTCAGGCATCAAACAATAAAGAACAGTCAACAGAGGCAAGAGGCCGAGCACGCTGCTGTGATTCCTACTCTTTAATCCCCTGGCTCTAGTTAAAAGGCCAGCTGTTGCCACCTCGCGTAGGAAGTCAGCAGAGCAAATTAACTGCAGGAGAAAAAAGCCACGGATATTGGAAAATTCTAATTTACCAGCTTCTTTAAGCCACAGTTTTTTTTTTTTTCCTTTAACATTAAGGACATTAAACTATATCATTAAAGTATGCCTGTGCAATGACAGCCCAAAGTAGTTTACCACTGTTTTCACATTTTCTTAGTAAATGAAATGTAAATATAAAGTATTCAGTTTTTATTGAAGTGCATCTTCTATTATATAAAGTACAAGAAATATGAAGACAGTGAAGCTTACTATAAAACATTTCAACACTCAACAAAAAGCCTCAATTACTCAATTAAAGATTCTGTATCTGTTATAGCTGGACCTTAACTCTCTAAGCATGAACACATGACATTGAAAAGCTGTGAATGAATTTTGGGCAACTCAGATACTACTTAACTGTGGTGGAATGTGAGAGAGCATATACTCTGAGACATTGTTACACGTCATATAGAGAAAACTAACTTCTTTCAATCTGTTTAGTGGCTTCATTTACACTTTAGCGTTTTCTTACCCAGATGTTCTAATTCTATCAAAGTTTTCATATCTTTTGACAGTTTATATTGCAAAGCTTTTAATGGTGCGGGAAGTACACAGGACGATGATGATCATCACTAATATGTATGTCTCTCTGACCTACTCTGTAAAGGACATCATTAAGAAGGGAAGCTTCCAAATATAAACGACTATTTTTTGAAATTACTTTTTACAGTGGCTTGAGGTTTTTCTCAGATTAGTTTAGCACAGTAGTAAAAAGACCTTGGCTCAAATCTTGGCATTAACACTTACTATCTAGGTGTTTCTCAGCTTCCATTTTATTTCTGAGAAAAATGACTATACTTATTGAAAATGCATATAAAGCACATAACTTAATATCTGGCACAGGAAAAGTATTCAAATATATATTCATAAACAGTTTCAAGTTCTGATACATAAATGAAAAGTTAGAGTAAAATGAGAGAAAGACTGTAGATCTTAGAAAGAGCAATCTAAATAATTGGTTCTGTACCTTTAATTCCTGGGTATCAGTGATTCTTTGATTATGTACACAGAGAATGAAAAGTGTAACTTGGGATTTAGCGAACAAGAGTTAAAAAAGAATCCTAAGCTTTGGATCATAAGCAATTGATTTAAGGTCCAAAAACTTACATTAACCCAGTTAGCAATATTCTCAGAGCAAACAATAAGAGAATTCCAGGCTGTACTGATGAAACTCAGCAGCAATACTACTAGCAGTTATTACCAGTGGCCAGATACTCAGGTTTTTTTCGGGGTGGGGTGGGGTGGAGGGATGGAGAACAAATCTTCAAAAGTCTGTGAGATGTTAGCACTATTACTTGTCTTATATGATAGCAATCATAAAGCAGATTTTACAAATCATAAAACAGGTAATAGAAAAAAATGTTTTGAGCTATAATATACTAATTCCCCCCCTCTTTTTAAAACTGCAGTTTGTTTGAATCAATATATTGGAAACATTACTCAAAATTATGCTGGGAATCCAAATAGATTTTATCTAATACTGTGTGATTATACAAACATCGCATTCTTCATCACTGACTTTATTCATTTATTGATATAATTATCCATTTATGGGTTTGTTTAATTCAATGGGTTATAATCTTAACTGTCATTTTGGTACTCCAATTGTCCTAGTTTTGGCCAGCTGGAGCCTCTTCAAGCTGGCTCTGTAACCTGTTGACATGTCCCTATCACCCTTCAAGTACTTCCTTACTTTCTGTAGCTTAAGATGCCCAGGTTCATTCCAACCTTCCCCTGCTCCAGCTATGGAATCCACCATATGGCCAAAGATCCTGGTTCCTATGTCTGACTTCTCTTCTAATGAGCCTCCTGAGACTAGAAGTGGTGGGCTCTTCTCTCACTTCTTTGACCTTCCTCTCGCTTCATGGTTTCATTTCACTAGTGAACATGGTATATCTTCTCCAGAATATGAGAGAACACTGTACTACTTCTCATGTACTCATCTTAAAGAACAATCAGTTGGTGAATCTCCAAAGTAAAGTGGTAAAGTGACTTAAAATTGAGCAAATTTAAGACTAGCAACAAATATGATGTATCAAACTTTGCCAATCTCTACAATACTCTACCCTGTATTATTTTAAAATTATAGTAAAAACTCTCCTGACTGCCTCGCTTCTCTAATTCCATTAACACACTATATTCTAATTGAATATGCTGTACTAGACACTTTAATCTGTAATACAGTAGTAATACAGTAGCAGCTGTTAAACTTTGAAAGTTTTCTGGCTGAAAGTATCCATGACCATATTCCCAACTGTTAGACTGAAGATAAGCAGTAAGGAAAGGTACCCTCAAGATTTCTTTTTTTAACTAATGACAAATCACGGCTCATCTCCCTTAATGTGACTGATGAAGCTGAGTCACTGGTGAAACATTTGCTTCCAAGGACATTATTTGGTACATTAACACAACCATAATTTTGTATGTACAAAAGTAAGTAAATCATTTCAAAGGAGTCATATGAGTACTTTCTCAGGAAAACCAGCAGGAGAACATAAGACTCCGCTTGGCAGGGCACAAATTTGTGTTAGTAATATACTTTCTTTAAATAATCAAATTGGGAATGAAAGTGATGGGGCTGCACTCAATGCTCTATTATAAAACATAAGAAATAACATCTTTTTTTTCGATCACTTAAAAATGTATATACTGATAAAATACATTGAAGTATTTCACTGTCTGATATGCTGATAAAATACACTGAAGTACGTTCTGTGGGATATGAAAGAAATATATTTGTATACATTGTAACACTGCCATACTCCCTGTAATGGTACTAATTTGGCATAAAATTATGAAGCAGGGACTGCCAAATGTTTTTGAACTAATTCTCCTACCAACCCTATGCAATAACTATTAGAGTAGTTGTTTTACAAACAAAGAAGCTAAGGTTCTGGGAGATACCTTGCCTGAGATAACATAGCTAGTAAACAACAGTTCTGAATTAAACACAGATCTATAAATTAGCACAAAGTTAACTATGTTGCCAAAGTGATATGAAAAAACTAAAAGCAACTGAAAACGGAAATATAAGTTAAAATAGAATGTCTCAAAAAAAAAAGATTTAAAGAAAGAAAGAAAAAAGGAGGAAAAAATGAAGAGCTCAGATAATAAGAAAGAAATGGAGAGAGAATGAGATAAGTGGTGGAGGACAGCACACTGCTGCCTGCTTTTTCTCGGACAGTATAGCGACTGTATCGTAGTGATCTAAACTCAGCTTAGAAACTGTTTTCAAATTTGAAGAACTTCTTTCTATTCAGCATCTGCTTTCTTTTAGGTATCAGAAAACTCAGTGGATAGTAAATTTAAGTATACACTGAAAAGAAAAATACTTTGTTTTCATAAAGGTGAAATAAGAGAAACTTATAAGACAGTAAGCTCCAAGAGAAGCACCAATCCCCAATATTTTTATTTTTATTGAATATTAATTTTTCACTGACTTCCTTGGGCTCTCAAAGATCTAAGTAATAAGTAAATCTTAATATGCAATCAAAACATCTTAAAGCTCGGAACCCACCAGCACCAGGAAAGAACCAAAAATCCCCTCAAAGTGAAAAAGTGATTAGTAAGGTGAAGCTGGGAGGTGAGGAAGAGGGGAAGGGT